CCGTGGCGAATGAAGGTTGGGAACTCGAAGCTCTTGTTCAGCAGGGTGTTGGCGTAGTTGCCCACCAGGCTAGTCATGGCGTTGTAGGTCATGTTGTTGCCCGCAGCGGTCGACCAGCCAGAGGCATAAGTGGCATCGCCATCCATCGCTGCCATGGTGATCATGGCAAATCCCACGTCGAAGGCACTCGTCTCCATCATGACACTGTCGGCCGAGAAGGTGTCGAAGAGATACTTGGTCCATGCGTGCTTCAGGTTGTAGATGGCATTGCCGTTGATGTGCTCCACCAAGTAAGACGGCATCTGGTGCTTGAAGAGATCCCACTTGTCACCCAGGTACTGGCTGCCGCGCACAGCAATGCTGTTGGCCGACATGTCCATGGCCTCCATCTCAAACTGCATCAGCCAGTCGTCCTTGAGCGGGACAGCGTCCATCTCCATCAGGAAGAAGGCATCGTACATGTCCATGTAAGTACCGGTGTACATGGCATCCATGATACTCTTGAAGACCGTGTTGGGACCACGGACCCAGTGCTTGTTCGTGGTGTAGCCGTTGCTGTCGTACACATCCTCGTCAGGGTTGAGCATGGCAGACATGCTCTTGACGCTCGAGAAGCACTTCATCCAAGGGTGCGTGGTCTCGTTCTTGGCCTGGAGCATCATCACGACATCATTGGCCATGGAGTTCTGAGACAGGTCTTTGCTGTAGACAAGAATGAGGTCAATCATGCTGTTGTTCGACATGTTCATGCATGGCATGACGGTGTCCCAATGGGTTGCGCTTTCCGACAACAGCATTACCTCCTCATCAGTGGAGAATACGCGCACCACGGCGAGCTTGCTCATCGCCGCGGCTTGCGCGAGTCCAATAGCTGCAAGAGCCCAGGTTAGCATCATGGCGAGCAAAGAAAATACGCGGGCGTTGAGATTTTGGAGGAAGCTAAGCTTGCTCTGCAATACTCTTGGGCCAAAATGGTGTGTTTCTCTTGCTTTTGCCTGCACGACGTGGCTCCCACTCGAATCCTGTAGCCTAGAACTGTCAACCCCAAACCCTGAGTCTCCGACCTGCTTCGGCCACCCCATCTCTGTATCCACGCGCTGTACTTCCACAGTTCGGGACCTGCATTGCTTGGATGTGCAGTTTCAACTATTAGGGTTTGGGGCTTGTATTCGTCCTGGGGAGAGGTCAAAGGATGAAGTGGTGAAGTAAGGCAAAGCTCCGTAAGGCTAGTTGAAATTCCCAGGGTTGCTACTCTACCTCTTCTCTTGGGTAGAGCCTATCCACCCTAGAATGTCTGCTTCCACTGATGTGGCCCATGATGTTGAAATATTCTGGCCTTTGCAAACGGACACCACAAATACACACTCACGAATTTTCCTACCGAATCCTACATACACTCGCCCTGCCTCAAGAATTATGATAACATCCTACCTCACATACTACCACATGCCAGGGTCCTCATGGTCAGATCATGCACCTACACCAAGGAATCAATGAGCTGAAGAAAAGGAAAGCAAGAGCAAGCCCGAGGAAACCAACGTCAATAGCCCGTCCCTTTACGCGCGGGTCGTAGAACGGCTACTGTGTTCCGAAACTGCCCTATCTTATGGCTCCAGCGCTCAGATGCACTCACTGCAGCCAAAGCATCTTTCAAGTACGAACCCCTCGTGATGCCCTTCATTGGGCCCTGACTAAAACTCAGGTCGTGGTTCCTCAAAGTCACAATGCCTTTGAAGGCAGCCCCAAATTTGGACTGGGGGTTTTGTACAAGCTCACATAGAATCCCCCTTCTTCCAGTTTTGGACAATACAATCAATACAAGCCTTTCCCTAAACTGCCCTTTTGCCAAAGATGCCCGTATCCATGAGGAAAAGTCTCAAGCACAGAAGCAGGTCCTCTGCTGCCCTATGTGTTGTAAGACTCCCTTCGGACCTTTGAGGGTAAGATTCTCAAAAATCTCACCCTTGCACCATGAGCCCCGAACCCCAACAACTCCAAGCCCGGAACAACCACCCAGCCCCTTTGTGCTCAGGTTGAGACTCATTGCCCGAATAGCAAAGTGAGAACTGGTCGTCGCAGCAGGTCTGACGAGGAACGCATTGGAGGTTTCCGAGGTTGACCCGCCAAAGTGACATTTCCGCACCAAACAGGCTTGGAGCTGAGCCCTGACATCCCCGACAGTCTTCAAAGGGACAACGCAGACCTCCAGAAACCTCATATTCCAACAGCTTGGGGACATATGGATTATGAGGCATACTGTGAAGGCTTGGCGAGCCGGGGCACGTAGACAGGGCTTAGGTTTTGGGGTTTATGGGTCGGTTTAGGGTTGCGTGCTGCCTACGGCATGCTCAGCTCAGACTCTCCTGTAAGCGCACGTCTTTTGTTGGCTTTTTGGGCGTCCCATGTTCATGTCACGCGCGAGCAGCATGTGTTAAACGATGTTGTAGTGAGTCAAGATCAAGACGATGTTCTTGAATTGCGCCTGATATTCATCCAAATGTTCAGACTTGAATCCACCTCCAACAGTGACCCAGATGGAAGTAGGCAAGGAAGCGCAAGGGGGAAACTAAGCAGGAAGTGGCGAGCATGGCCTTAAGTCGGAGCAGCGCAGCCGCAGCTGCAGCAGGGACGAGGTGGCGGAGCGGTACAAGTGTCATCAGAATTTTTCACATTTGCTGTTGCTGGGCTCACGCCGCTGCTTCCAAGGCTGCCAAGACAATGAGGACGACAAGCAGGATGAGGAGGAAGACGCGAACCATCATAACGATCAGCAGCAAAGGAGGAGGAGGAGGAGGAGGTGCACGAGGAGAAGGACGAAGACGGCAGGAGGGCAATGACCGCTACTGCTACTTCTACTGCTGGTGTCAGTGCTCGCGCTACTGCTCTTGCGAGTCTACCAATGCTAAGGTGGCGGCTGTGCTTGACACAAGCATCGCCATCGCGGGGATTGTATGGATGATTCAACTATTTTGGGGGCGATCAAGGTAAACATACAATTAAACCAATACCGCAAACGCCGCAAACCGGTTACGCACATCATCGGTGTGTGGTTGAATGGGCTCATCCACTGCGCATGTTTTGCGGTAACCTTTTTCAAGGGAGACTTCGGATAACTTTCGGACTGTGGCATGGCTTGAAAAATACTACGACATTGTAGACTTGAAATCCTCGAAGACAGCTACATATAGGACAATGTAGAGCATCTAAAGTCAAGACTCTGGACCCCATACCCTAGCTAAGCCCAGACCCTCATCACCCCACACCGTATCCCAAACTGAAAGTGCAAACCTGTGGCAATCGGGCGCAAGGCCATCCCAAGATGGACAAAGCCTGCGAAACACTAGCAATCGGGCCTCTTTTAGGGAACTTGGAGTCTGGCTGGCATATGTGCAACCCTGGATCGCAAGATGTGCCACTGCCTTGATGACCTCGCAGCCCGCGTGGTCCTGCACAGATGTAAGTCTACCTGAAGTACCATCCATACTTTATCATCGCTGAAGCACTCCACTCTTCTGCAGAAATCGTCCAAAATCCCAGGTATAAAGTCTTCTCGGGCCCTGAAACCTGAGATCGAAAAAAGGAGATTCCCCAATTACAGAGGCTGCAGACACAATAGTTTGCAGGGCTTTGGTTCAGGGACGGAGCGCTTACCTGCGGGCCATCTACATACGCACCCCAGAGCTAATTCACAAGTCAATGACCAGCATGACTGGTTTTGAACGTGCTTGCGATTGGTTGAAGATAAGACAGGCCTGCAACAATTTCGGAGCATCTTGCAACTGCAAGCCCAGCTCCAAGACCACAAATAAACGGAAGGGAGTTTCTGAAAATCTCAGAAGAAGTCCTCAGACTGCCCTGCATGCAAGGATGCAAAGGCATTCTCCTCCAGCGTGTCTGCCACCACGTAGGTGGAGGTCGTTTGCGGCCCGATGTGGATGTCCCAGTAACCGGGCCTAACACAGTTCTTGCTGCAGGATATCTTGAAGCAATGTGCGACACCTGTGCCGGCCTAGAAGGTAATTCACCCACCACATAACGGAAGGAGGAAAGCTTCCAAAGGCAAAGGCAACATACGAAGGCTTTTTGAGGCGTCTGCATCCCTTGAGCCGTCCAACACATCCACGATTCACCAGAGCTCAGTATCCACAGGCTAGCCCTGAGTGCAAACATGATGTGGACCTCAACCTTAGAGCCAACCCTTTACCGAAACTCTGGCTTTGAAAATGGAGATGCACTGAACAAGGGGGTTCTGCTGTTCAGGGTCTAGGCCATTCTGACATCATCAGCTATTCGCAGGAATTCGAATACACTGCCATCCCGCTACCTGCCCTAATGTAGATTATCCCAAGAACACTGCAACAAAACATAGTGCGCCCCACCCCGCAGTGGCTCAGAGGGTGGAGTATGTACTTCAATGGCAGCGTATAGGTTTTCTAGGAACTTTGTGGAATCGTAGTGATGTTGCCTCCATGTGTGGAATGCGGAGGTCTGCGACGTCTAGCTCCACAACGCTCGTTTATGGGATGATACGCGCGTTTCTTCTGAAGCCACAAAGTGCCAGTTGTTGTTGTTGTTGTTGTTGCGTTGAAGCAAGGATTGGATGTTCAACGTGGATTCTTAAGGGTATCACAGCCATTGAGCTATGCTTAGAGGGATTGTAGGCGTATGTGTCAGGACCTGCTAGCACTACGGGGAATATTCTGGGGTTTGAAAGTATGCAGGAATATTCCGGGGTTGCTACAGAAATCAAAGAGATGTGGAGGCTTTGGCGTCACAGTCAATATTCTGAAAGTGAAAAAAGGGATAAAGCATCCAACACGCAGCATCTCCCATGACTGGAGTCACTGCTGAAGCCCCAAGGCAAATTACAGCACGAGTGACAGTTGCGAGGACCGCAGTGTCCGGCACCTGTTTGGTGTTTATGATAGCCAGCCATGCGCTACTTCCCTTGGGGGCAGCTGTCGACCCGTGACATGGGGATCTTTACGAGCCACCACTATAGGCCTAGCAGTGCCGCGTAGGCAGGAAGGGGACCGCAACACCGGCAACTGGACAATTGCATTGAGGGCCCGGCAGGGTCCATAACACCTGGCACCAGGAGATTTTGCAAAAGGTTTGAGGTCCAGGTTGAAAATGTGTTTCATGTTCCTTCTGGGTGTCTTGACACACATCATCTTCAGCATGCCTCGTAAGTACACAGTCGGTGATGAAGACGATCGAAAAACGCACTGCCTAAACTCCATAGAAGGAAACCATCCGAATAAGAAGTGGTTTTCGCCACAAACCCCTGCACCCAATAACCTCAGTCGGACTCTCGTTGGCATAACTGCGCATGACAACTGGTCCGAAATCCAACGTGGTTGGCATCAGATCTGCAGTGTCTTGCTAAAGTTTTGAGCAACATCCTCGGAAGACAGTGAAACCAACAACCCTAACCCTAATTGTCAAGAAACGTCAGGAGGCCCTACTACAAGCCAGCCTGCGCTACGCATTGCCTGAAAGCCCTCACTGGCTTTGGGTTTAGGGCATGCCCGGTAACATACCTCAAGAAATCCATACACAACCCTCGAATCTCGGCTCGAGAACTTGAACCATACACCCGAACCAGCACTGTGGTTCCTGCATTGCTATGCCTACGTTAGCACGACTGCAACAGCTTCGCCATCCTAGCTTGCATGTAGTACTCTTCACCTTGCAAAGTGTTGGAGGACATGAACGTCTAACAAGCTCCATTGCACCTGCTTCTCCTCGCTGTATCTACCTCTTAGGCTTCCTACTGCAATGCTACGGCTGTTGCTTCTACCTGTACTACTCACACACTGATCGAGATATGGAGGATATGATCAGTCACTATGAATGTCACCCTAGGCGCCCAAACAATCTGCAAACTTCACGC